AGTGGAGCAGACTTTTAAAAGTTTGAATTTTGTGCCCTATTGCTCCACTGCTTGCCAGCAACCAGCCCCTTTTCCTATGCTCTATCTTCCCATTGCTTCGCATTCACTTCTCAGCACGTCCTAGCTTTCAGAAAGTTGTCGATTTTCTGTTTCTAGAATTGCTGCTCTTCTTTTCTTCAAACTTCTCTTGGGTTTGTAGGTGTTTGGAATTGTTTGATAACTATTTAGCTGACTAGGCCCTGATGTCATCTCAGTCTGCTACTCCTCTGCCATCTTGACTCCTTCCCAGAAAAGGCATTTCACAAAGTACATGTATTCATGATAAAAACCCTCTGCAAGGTGAGTTTAAATGGTACATATCTCAACATAATAAAGGCCATTTATGAAAAATCTATGGCCACCATCATACTCAATGGTGAAAAATTGCGAGCTTTTCCTCTAAGGTCTGGAACAAGAGAAGGATGTCCACCCCCATCACTTTTATTCAACATAGTACTGGAAGTCCTAATAACAGTAAATAGAAAATGTAAAGAAGTAAAAGGCATCCGAATTGGAAAAGAAAAAAAAAAAAGTAAAACTCTCACTATTTATGGATGACATGGTACTATACATAGAAAATCCACCAGTCAGAATGGCTAAAATTAATGTCAGGAAATGACAGATGTTGGTGAGGATGTGGAGAAAACTACACAGTTGGTGGGAATGCAAGTTGGAGCAGCTGATCTGGAAAACAGCATGGAAGTTCCTCAAAAAGTTGAAAATAGAGCTACCCTATGACCCAGCAATCACTCTATTGGGTATTTACCCTAAAGATACAAATGAAGGGGCACGTGCACCCGAATGTTTATAGCAGCAATGTCCACAATAGTCAGACTATGGAAAGAACCTAGAGTCCATCAACAGATGAATGGATAAAAAAAGTGATATATATATATATATATATATATATATATATATATATACACATACATACACACACAATGGAATACTATGGAGCCATCAAAAGAAATGAAATCTTGCCATTTGCAATGGTGTGGTTGGAGCTAAAGGGAATTATGCTGAGCAAAATAAATCAATCAGAGACAGACAATTATCATATGATCTCTCTGATATGAGAAATTTGAGAGGCAGGGCAGGGGTTGTGGGGGTAGGGAAGGAAAAAATGAAACAAGATGGGATTAGGAGGGAGATAAACCATTAGAGACTCTTAATCTCACAAAGCAAACAGGCTTGCTGGGGTGTGGGAGGGTAGGGATAGGGTGGTTGGGTTATGGACATTGGGGAGATTATGTGCTGTGAAGTGTGTAAACCTGGCGATTCACAGACCTGTACCCCTGGGGCAAATAATACATTATATGTTAATAAAAATAATTTTTATATGTTAATAAAAATAATTTTTTTAAAAATCCTAAAGACCATCATAAGTCCATCAACAGATGAATGGATAAAGAAGATGTGGTATATATACACAATGGAATACTATGCAGCCATCAAAAGAAATGAAATCTTGCCATTTGCGACGACGTGGATGGAACTAGAGGGTATCATGCTTAGCGAAATAAGTCAATCGGAGAAAGACAACTATCATATGATCTCCCTGATATGAGGGAGAGGAGATGCAACATGGGGGGTTAAGGGGGTAGGAGAAGAGTAAATGAAGCAAGATGGGATTGGGAGGGAGATAAACCATAAGTGACTCTTAATCTCACAAAACAAACTGAGGGTTGCTGGGGGGAGGGGGGTTGGGGCGGTGGGGTTATTATGGACATTGGGGAGGGTATGTGCTATGATGAGTGTGGTGAAGTGTGTAAACCTGGTGATTCACAGACCTGTACCCCTGGGGGGGAAAATATATATATATATGTTTATAAAAAATAAAATTTATTAAAAAAAAAACTACTAGAACTGATAAGTGAATTTGGTAATGTTAGAGAATGCAAAATCCATGTGCACAAATATCCTGCATTTTTTTACACTAGTAATGAAGCAACTAAAAGTGAAATTAAGAAAACTACTCCGTTTGCAATTGTACCCAAAACAATTAAATATCTAGGAATAAACTTAACCAAAGAGGTGAAAGACCTGTACTCTGAAAACTATCAAACACTGATGAAAGAAATTCAAGACAACCCAAAGAAATGGAAAAACATTCCATGCTCATGAATTGGAAGAACAAAGATTGTTAAAAGGTCTGTACTACCCAAAGCAATCTACAGATAAAATGCAATCTCTATCAAAATACTAATAGTATTCTTCACAAAACTAGAGCACACAATCCTAAAATCTCTATGGGAACTCAAAGGACCCTGAAAACCACCTTGAAAAAGAAAAACCAGGAGGTATTACAATTCCAGAATTCAAGTTATATTGCAAAGCAGTAGGGAGTAAAACAGCACAGTACTGGCATAAAAGTTGACACATAGATCAATGGAATAGAAGAGAAAATCCACAATTATATGGTCAATTAATCTTTGACACAGGATAAATGAAGATACAGTGGCCAAAAGATAGTCTTTTCAACAATAATGCTGGGAAGATTGGACAGTTATATCCAAAAGAATGAAACTGGACCATTCTCTTGCACCACACACAAAAATAAATGTAAATCTGAGACCCAAAACCATAAAAATCCTTGAGGAGGGCACAGGTGGTAATTTCTCTGATGTTGCCCATAGCAACATCTTTCTAGATATATCTCTTAAGGCAATGGAAACAGAAGTAAAAATAAACTATTGGGACTACATCAAAATAAAAAGTTTCTGCACAGCAAACAATCAACAAAACTAAAAGGCAATCCATGGAATGGGAGAAGATATTTGCAAATGGCACAGCCAATGAAGGGTAATATCCAAAATATATAAAGAACTGATACGATTCAACTCAAAACATAATCCCATTAAAAATTAAGCAGAAGGGGTGCCTGGGTGACTCAGTTGATTAAGTGACTGCCTTTGGCTCAGGTCATGATCCCAGGGTCCGGGGATTAAGCCCTGTATTGGGCTCCCTACTCAGCCGGAGGTCTTCTTCTCCCTCTCCCACTCCCCCTGCTTGTGTTCTCTCTCTCACTGTCTCTCTCTCTCTCTGTGTGTCAAATACATAAATAAATAAAATCTTTAAAAAAAAATGGGCAGAAGACATGAACAGATATTTCTTCAAGGAAGACACCCAGATGGCCAATAGACACATGAAAAGATTTTCAACTTCAGTCAGCATCAGGGAAATGCAAATCAAAACTACAATGAACATAAGCAATGAATTCCAGTACACTGAAAAGAAATTAAAAAAGTAAAAATAAAAATAAAAATAAATTAAAAAAACAGTGCCTGGAAAAAAAAAACTGCAATGAATTATATGTGTCAGAATGGCTAAAATTAAAAAAAAACACAAGAAATGATGAGTGTTCATGAAGATATGCAGAAAAACAATACTCATGCACTGTTGGTGGGAATACAAACTGGTGCAGCCACTGTGGAAAAGAGTAAGGAAATTCCTCAAAAAAGTAAAAATAGAACTACCCTATAATCTAGCAATTTTACCACTGTTTATTACCCCCCAAAATAAAAAAAATACTAATTCAAAGGAATTCATGCACCCCTGTGTTTATTGCAGCATTGTTTACAATAACCAAACTATGGAAACAGCTCAAACATTCACCCATGGATGGATGAATAAAGAAGCTGTGAGATTTTATATATATATACACACACACATACATACATACATGTGTACATATATATATATATGGATATCCATATATATATGGATATATATATGGATATCCATATATATATGCATATATATATATAATGCAGTATTATTCAGCCATAAGAAAGAATGAAATCTTGCCATTTGCAACAACATGGATGGACTTAGAGACTATGATGCTAAGTGAAATAAATCAGACAGATAGGTGCCATATGTGGAACGAAACAAATGAACAAAGGAAAAAAAAAGAGAGAGACTAACCAAGAAGCAGCCTCTTAATTACAGAGCTCGAACTGATGGTTGCCAGAGGGAAGTCGGTGGGGAGATGGGTGAAAAATAAATCAGTAGTAGTCTAGAGCTGCCCAAAACATGGAGGGTAGAGCATCCTAAAACTGGCCATCACTTTGCTCCTCCAGTGGCTGACAGCTCAGCCTATAACACACTATAACACACTACCATGAAGAGTAGGCCCCCAAGATTGAAATGAAATGTGATTTTGTGAATAGAGATTGCTCTGGAGTCAGAAACTCTGCCAGTTGTTGGCTAGGTGGCTTCAGATGTCTCAGGTGAAGGGTTTCATTGTAAACATTATTAAGGATTAAATAAGTTTGTACATGTAAAGTATGTATCTACCATAAAGCCTTATAGTTATAATAAAACTGTATGGTTTTATTATTCCTCTTGTTGTCCACAGTGGCTTGAAATCCCATTCACTGGTTTTTTCTTCCTAGCACCGCAGACCTCTTGACTTTCCTTTACTATCTAACCCCAATATCTGGGCTTCACTGGCTCACCCTCCATTTGTTTCAAGATCCTTCTTTTGAATAGATTTAGAAATTTTTCTCATTTCTAATTATTAAACATGTATTAAGTGCCTATTCCATAGGACGTTCTCTGCCTCAAGAGTTACAGGCATGATGGAAATAAAGTCTCTGGCCTCAAAATTGCTGGAAAATTAGAACTTATTCCAGAGTACAGATAAACTCCCTTCCAAAATCATAAGTTTAAAGTCTTTTAAAATATTCTGAAATCTTCCCAGTGTCTTGGTTCTCCTCTTCCTTTCTTCGTGCCTCTCTAAATTTCCAGTTCTTTGTTATGACATAGATTCTGGAAACTTCATAGGCCACACTCCTGTAGCCTGCTTAGGTCTGATCAACCTAAGTCACACAGTTCCTCTGCAACCCTCTGCATGCTTGTCTACAAGGGTCTCCCCGCATTCAAGTTCATACTGCTCAGAAACAGTGAGCTTGACTCCTTTTTTCTTGATCAGCCTCTGACAAAGAAATCCAGATGATACAGAAACCACTGAAGACAATACCTGGAAAATGGCAGTTTTGGGTATGGACTGAGTCCCTCTCTAAGGCCTCTCTTACCCTACTGAATCAGAAAAGTCTCCTCCTTAGAGACTTTAACACACGGCTTTACCTTTCTTGCCTGCTTACTTTCAAATTCAATATCCTTTCTATCATTCTCATTGATTCCTTTCGGAGCCTGGGTAAAACAACCCACACAGTCAACTAAACTCTAGAGTAAGGATATTAATCTTTCTTTTGGTTTCAGGAGTTTGAATTACTAAAAGAAAATAACCATCCTCTGGAATAATAAGAAAATTCCTTAGCCTGTTATCTCACTTCTGGTAATACTATTCACTTTATAATCTGCCTCAACTCTTCCTCTTATTTTCCTCATAAATGGAGTAGATCATCTTCTGTCCAATAGCCAGAACATTTCTGACACTACTCAAAGGGAGTACCAGAAGCTTGATCCAAGTATACTACCTGGTTATCCCTTCCACCCCTAAGGATTACTTCACATCAGTTATGAAAATCTGACTTGCACGAAAGAGTCCAACTACTTCCTATTCATTTTAGTTGTCCATTAGGAGAAAATCTCTGAAGGTTGTCTTTTTGGGAAAATTTTCTCACATGATCTAATACTTGAAAGATCTGGTAGACATTTGCCCAATTTTCCCCAACTGGAGATGTGTCATTACATCTTGAAATGAATTTATCTATTGCTTTCTTGAAGCATCCTTAATCTTAGTGTAATTAATTTTCTTAGCCCTTCATAGTCAATTGTCTTAAACATTTTTCACTGTCACAGGCAGATGTATGATTCTTTTGTTCATTCATTCCTTCTTTCCTTCCTCCTTCTTCCCTTACTATCTCTTCTCTTTCTCTTTCTCTTGTTCTTTCTCCCTTCTTTCCTTTCTCCACTCTTTCCTCCCTTCCTTCCTTCCTACTGCCTCACTGCTTGCCTTTCTTCTCTCAAAGGTTCCTTAGTTTCAGTTTTTCATTAACCATAGCAAAGTATATAATTAAGATTTGTCTCTCCAATTATACATAAACAGATATAGTTTAGGCAGTTCCAGCATTCTTTCTCCTAGTAATCAAAGTAACATTCATCATAGATTTGTGGATGATGACTAAAAGGTCTTCCCCAATGGTAAGAAATTTCTGCCTCTGCTGTGGTTTTCATTAATATGACCATCTTCAGTCAGGGGCCACTAAGTTTTGATTGCTCAAAAAACTTTTGCTGTAAAAATTTTTCACACACATTATATATGTGTGTATATCACACACACACACACACACACACATAAAACATACTACTGTACTAATATATGTTTCAAAACAGGAAACCTAGAATTTTAAAGTTGTAATATAAAATTACATAAAAGTAGAACAAATATTTTTTTCCTCACACTCCAGTGGATTGTTTTGCATATCACTGAATTCCTCTAGCCTTCTGTCTATAGAAAGTAAGGGATTCAATTGAGGAAGGAAATCTGTCACATTTTCCTCTCTAAATCAAGGCTAGACAGCAACTGCGGTTCTTGGTATCTGACCAAAAGGACCAACATAAAAAATGGGTAGGCGAGGGAATGTGGGGACAATAAGATGAAGAACATAAAGGAAGAAAGGAGTTCAGGTAGCAGAAAAGGGGGCAGAGGAGATACATCTATTTGGCAAAAACAATAAAGAGGTGATCGGTAATTGTCTCTGATAATGACCAGGTCTAAATAAGCAAGTCTACAGGTGAGATTTTGTTGCAGAAATAACTTTGGCTGTCATCCTGACTCTACTGGGACTTGCCATTCTGGCTATTTTATTAACAAGATGGACACGGCGCAAGCAAAATGGTGAGTAATAAATCAAAATGGAAATTCCCCAAAAGTCACAGTGGAAGGGATGTCAAGATTCAGTTTCATTTCGTTTCTACTTATTAGACGGCTAGGGACTTTGCTAGAGACTTTTTAAACTCCCAAAGCTCACATAGCCAATAAGGTCAACCCCCCAAAAAAGCAGATTGAATTTAAAAATAGTAATAACAAGAATACTCTAAAATTATCTAAGTTCCAAGGGAAATTATCTACATAATAAAAATGGAAAAGAAAAGATACTGTGCTGATGGACAGTAGCTAGTATTATACCAAAAATTTCAAGAATTTTAGTTACTGGGGTGCCTGGGTGGCTCAGTGGGTTAAGCCTCTGCCTTCGGCTCAGGTCATGATCTCAGGGTCCTGAGATCAAGCCCCACATCAGGCTCTCTGCTCAGCAGGGAGCCTGCTTCCCCCTCTTTCTCTGCCTTTCTTTCCCCCTCTCTTCCTCTCTGCCTACTTGTGATCTCTCTCTCTTTCAAATAAATAAATAAAATCTTTAAAAAAAAAGAATTTTAGTTACTTAATACTACAGAGATGATAAGAAGAAGCAAATATAGAGTAGTATTTGTCAAGGAAACAGAGATGGGGCTTATTTAGCCAATGACCTATTTCTATGCCATAAGGTGTCTCTTTCCAGGATTTTCCTCAGTATTTTCTCCATTGCCTTGTTGTAGTCAGTTGTATCCCCCCATCAGACCTCTTTCTCATCTCAGCACCTATGAGCCCTCAGAGAATAAGTGTGGAAACAGACAGAACTGGGCTGGCTGTAGGTGCTAGAAAGGGGTAGGAACCAGTAATACATCATATCAAGAGTGCCACCTTGGGAACACAGAAGCACAGTTTAGAGTGATGAGAGATGGATCAGGAGGATGAACGCCTCTCACAAGTAGTTAATAGTAATATTTTTGCTTGATTCTTCCACAGAAATTGATGTCTCAAGATACAGTTCAGAACAAAGTAAGTACTTTGACCCAAGAGAGAAAGAAAAATAGAAAGCATAATGGAATTTCCTTAAGTCAGGGACCAAGTCTGTCTTATTTACCATTGTATTCCCAGCACCTTGCAAAATTAATCATTCCATAAACTGAACTTCTAACTTACTCAGAGAAATCTACCAGAGATTTCTATGTAACGCTGAGTGCCAATCTGAAATTGGGCAAAATAAACTAATAGGGGGTTGGTCTGCATGATTCTGAGGCTCTCTTCGGATACCATCTGTGGAACAACAGCAACAGGAATACCAAGTCATGAAAACAGCAGACTCCTCGGGCAGTGGACTAGAAGGTCTAAATCTGGTAGTGAAAAGGGCCTCAGCAAGGTGGCTGGGTAGAAGAATCAAATTAGCTAGGAATAATAAAAGAGTAAACACAACCAAGATAATTATGATTGAGAAGAGCACCAAGTTCAAGATATGAAGAGATGAAGTATATTTTCCATGGCGATGTCTAGTGAGATGTCAAAATTGCTGAAAGATAGCCCAGGATTAGTAGGAGAAGGAAAACAGGAGCTAAATTCTGAAGCACCAAGAAGGAAAAGCAATTTGAGGCCCTGTCTGATTACTGTTTAGTCTAGTGAAACTGGTGACTGGCACAGTCATTCATCAACTGCTCCAGCTATGCAGTCCTTAGTTCCTACAAAGTAAATAAATTCCCATCATCATTCATTACTGGGAGTTCATCTCTACATTAGCTCTGAGTCTTAAAGCCCCACTCCTTTTCAAGAAGCAAAACCATGAAGCACTCTCTCTTTTTACTCCAGGTCTTCTGGACTATGAGGATGGTAGAGGTAAATAGATTAGGAACTACTACAGAATGAATAGAGAAATGTGTTCTTATAGAACAAAAAAAGCCCACCTCCCTTTGAGCACAATTTGTGAGGTCAGCACACCTTTTATTATTACAATATCCAACTGCCAATCTACCTTTATATGCATATGTATACATATGTGTGTGTGTGTGTGTGTATGTATATAAATAATGTGATTTGTATATTTTTCTCAGAAAAGACAAATATGTCCTCTTTCTGAGACATTAAAAAAATTCTTTCCAACTCCTGCTTATACTAAGATCTTGGAAAGGGAAGAAACCTCTCTGAAACAATTTCCTAGATGTTTAAAATAGGGATAAAGATGTATAAAATAGGGATAATTCATGGGTTGTCATGAAGACTGCATAGCATACATAAAAAGAAACAGTAAACTATACAACACAATAGGCGAGAACAACTTATATTATCATCATTTTAGAAGATGAAATTGATATCGAAAATGTTAAAAGTTAAGACTTACCCAAATGCACCTAGCAAAAAAAATTAGAAAGCAAATCCAGGTGGTTGTGGCCTTGAGTTCAGTACTCATATTCTCATATGACACTATCCCCATTTGGTTAAGACAACAAAGGCTCATTTTAAACAATTTCGGTATTTATTATTAATATTATTAATTATAACTATTAATATTAATCAAATCAGGACATTTAGTCTGACATGATGTAAAAATAATGATAAAACATATTTGAAATTAAACAACCAGAAATCTAATGGTTTGAAGTAGAGGCCAAGGCACCCTACTTTTTTTGTAGGAGACACACACACACAGAAGCACACATGTACACACTCTACAAGCATAAAGATTCATATTTCCAAAAGGAGAGAGGAGACAGCTTGGTCACTCTGCTTCCTGTTATGCCCCACACTTGGCCTCTTGGTCCATGCCTTCTCCTGTTACTTCTACGATTCATCTGTCATGAACAGAGTGAGGAGCCATGGGATCCTCTCTTTCTTTCCTGAAATGGGATCCAAGGGAAATGGAAACATCTAGGAAAGGAGAAAAATCCTGGGAAGAAGAGAAATCCTACTAGTTGGATTTAGACATATGATGAAACATTTCTTGATGAGCTGTTACTAAACTTAAACTGTTTTTTTTTTTTTTTCCCAAAAGATGTTCCCTCTCAGAGATCTGAAAGAGGAAGAGGTAAACAGATTTTCACCTAGAAAGAAAATAATGTAGACGTAGTTGTCAGGGTAGAATCTCATTATGTTTTCATCTTGTCTTTTAGGATTCCGTCATTTGTATTCAACAGAAAGTGGTAAATAAATTAAATATTGAATTGTTAAGAAATTAATTAAGACATTAAGAAATTAAGACATCTATTTATGAGAAATTAAGAATCTTATGTTTTTCCTTCAATCCTCGAGACACCTCATATGATGATCAAGGTAAGTATGTTTAGATCTGTTTTCTTTCCTGTTATAACATGAGGGGCTGTACAATTTAGGTAAAAAGACAGGAAACCAATGTAATGTATAGAGGATTCTGAGAAGCATTCAGAAATGGTCACCTTGACACCATGAGGTGTCTTTTCCCTCAGTACCATCCAATTCCTCTTCTATTCACTTCCTCATCGCCTTAAAGTAGTCTGAGTACTCAGGGTACATTCAATATCCCAGAGCACAGGAATGTTAGCCACTAAATGTGTCTTTTTTAATATAAATGTTAAGGAATGGAGGAATAAATCCCTTAAAATTTGTCATTTTAAGGTTTGACCTGTGCACTGAAATTCCAAGAGGGCAAAGAAAGCCTGATCTTGTCTACTGTTGTCATTTACATCTCATGTTTCTTGGGAAACAAACCTCCTCAGAATAGTCAGTCATCACGACACTGCATTAAACCAGTGCAAGAAGCTACCTGAATGTGAGAAATGTAAGGGTACACAGATAAGTAAAATGCAACTATAAACAAAGAAAGGGAGAGAATTAACACGCATTCAGTACCTTCTTCTATGTGCCAGCCACTCTTGTGGACGTTTTTCACTTTATTTTAATATCTACAAATGACCCTGTGAACCACAAAGAATGAAGCTCCTGTGGCTGCTCAAGGTCTCTACAAGTTACCCTACAGATTGCTTTGGTGTAAATTAGAGAGTTTTCCTTTCTCTAGGCAGATGCAGTCCCACTGAAGGACACTACTGGGATTTTAGCCCCCAAATCCCTCTGCACAGTGAACAACCTATGCAACCATAATATGGTGGTCCTGATTATATAAGAATGGTAGTTCATTCTTAACATGTCCAAAACCCAAGTCCTGATCCTATTTACATACAGGTACCAGCACATGCATTCCCCCAATTTCTCAGGCCTTACACCTCTGTAACTTCTTTCTCTCACTTTCCTTAGACAATCCACCAGCAAATCCCATCCCCACTACTTTCCCATTATATTACAAATTAGATCACTTGTCACCATGACAACAGTCTTAGCTCAAGCATCAACATCTTGCCTGAACTACTTTGACCCCTTACTGGTTTCTTCCTACTCTTGCCCTCTTACAGTCTATTTTCTTCATCAGTAAGGATGATCCTTAGCAAGCAATTCTTAAATCAATTAACTTACTATATATTGTCATCCTTGATTTTTAATCCCTAATTAGAGAAACATACACATGAAAAATGTTAGTGACTTGCCCAAAGCCACAGGGTTTGCAAATGACTCAACCTGATAGAAACATAGAATTATCTGACTCTAGATTTCATGTTCCTTATTTTTACACAATTTAGTAATATCTTACTAATTTCCTGCTATGGATCTTTAGTGTAGAGTTTGCAATCTTAGCTTCTTTCTATCCAGGCTACCCTTGCATTTTTAGGGAAAACTTGTATCAGTAAACATTTTATGGTGGTCTAAATAAACCATAATTTAAAATTCATAGAGCCAAATGACAACTTACTTCTTTGATTTCCCAGTCACTCTAAAGTAGCCTTATGAAGCTCAATGACCTTGTTTCTACGTTCCCAAGCTCTACCAGTCTGGACATGGAGATATGAATTTGCTGGTCAGCTAGAGACTACAAAAATCCTCTGACAGGAAAATATTCGGCAAAGTCATCAGATCAGTTTAGGTGCATGAAATTTAGTACTTAAATTTTGATATTTAAATATATCATGTATTACATATTAAATTTGCCATGATAATTCATGAATTTTGAAAGGCACTGAATTTATTTTGAATGTTATTAAGTTTTACAGCAAGTGTAAATTAAGCACATTTGTTATATACATCTTGGTATTTTCTGTTTTTAAAATACCCACAGAAAAAGGAGAAACAAGTAACAATAGTGTAAACCAGAGGTTTTGTGTGTCTTGGACTTAATCCCATCACAATGACACCCTAGTATGGCAGGAAAGCATTCATTTTCAGGATGGGGATGAGAAAGAAAAAAAAAAGTTGTCTTTACATTTACAGGTAGATCTTTACTTATACGTCAGTAAAATAGCAAATTAGACCATCGTGCAACATAATTTTTCATTTCCAGAGTGTTGGTATTATTTATTTTTACACTTTCATGAAAACAATAGTGATAGGATGACAAGTTTTCATGTAATTTACTTTGTCTCCATATTTTTTAGGCACTGTTTTCGTGACATTACTAAGTTTTAGGTTGTAGGATGCACATCCAATCACAATATGTGTGTGTGTGTGTGTGTGTGTGTATTCATTATACTTTGCCATCCCTTCATTAAATTTTGCCGTCTTTTCATTAAATTTGCCACTCTTCATTAAATTTGAACTCTCAATTAGTTGAATAAATATTTTGCCATTTTTTCTCTTACTTTACCTTAACTTATTTTATAACTACTGTGCTCTTCTGTTTCTGTGTTTCTTTCCATGTATAATTATTATCTCTTCTCCCTATGTATTTACCTTTATTAATCTTTGCCTGGTTTTTCATGTCATTTGACTCATAAATTAAGTCACGAGAAGATTTTTGCCCCCAGTTTCTTGCCTACTTGGATATTTGAGGGCGTTGATTGGGTAATCCTCTGTAATGATATTGAAACTATAGAAATAGAAAATTCAAACTGATTTTTCTTGGTTTTATTTGTGTTTTTAGAGGGATCCAAAGGAGATTACAGTAAGTATTCTCTTGTTTTTCAACAAAGATTTGCTTCCCTAGATTGTAAATGCTTTGAGAAAAGAGAAATGCCATCAGTTCATATGAATACTGAGTAATTAGTGAAGTCTCCTAGTGCTGGTTTAAGATAGTTTGTCATTAACAAACTGTCAGTTTCCAAACTTGGTCTGCTGGTTTCAGAACTGACTGAGAGAAAAGGAAAAAGAAAAAGAGGTAATGATGAGTGACAGGAAAGGGAAGTGAAAGGAGTGGAAGAGGAAAGGAGAAGAAAGGAAAGAAGTGGGGGAGGGATTAGGACAGAGATTTAAGCCACAAAGTTTCACAGGACTAGCATCTGTCTACTAAAAGCTGAAACACTTTATAGAGATGGAAGGGATGGAGTTGGTGGGAGTGGCTTCTGGTACCCACAGCTAGGTCAATAAGTCTCCCTGGGCCTGGACCTCCAGAGAGGAGGTCACAGTAATTGATATGCAAGGTCAGTGATCCAAATTCTGACAATTCACCTCCTGTTTCTGTGTGTGTGTTTTAGCACCATCAGCCAACTCCTTAGGTAAGTTCCTTGTGGCTTTTCTACTATCATCTGGTTTACACGTCCTGTATAGTTTCTGTATTATATCTCTATCTCTTAAAGAAGTTTTAAGTACAAAAATAATTGACCCTTGTAAATCCATACTCTAGATTTGACAACTGATATTTTGTTTTATTTCTCAAGTGACATAATATAGAAATCTCCTTTGTCCCCATCCCTACACACATTCCACTCTCCCCAATTCCCAAATTCTTATAAATGTACCATAAATCCTGTAAGTTTATTTTCATCTATTTATATAATTTTTATGGATCACTGAACAATACATAGTATTTTTGTACATATTCATTTAAAAATTTTACTGAAATGACATCATTTTGAAAGTATCATTACAACTTGCTTTTCCACCCCAAATATTATAATATTGAAAACATACAGAAATCCAGGTTATACATTTTAATTGTTAAATAAATATCCCAACTTATGAACAAATTTTTTTCTATTCTTTCTCCTACTGTTCTGTTCTCAATGTGTTCAATTTCTGCTATCATAAATAATGCTGCAAAATCTCAAGTAATTTAAAAAATAATTAATCCAGGTACACACCCAGAAATGGAATTAATAAATCACAGTGTGTATGAATATTTATGTAATTTAAGCACTTCTTTACTTTACTAGCTGTTGTTTAATTGAATTCCACATAGGAGGCACAAAGAAATCTATAAAAGTTTCCCATTTTCCTGCATCAGTAACAACCCCAATTTTGTCATATTTCCACCTTATTGCCCCTGGGATTAGCATAAAATTTTTAATTCGCATTTTTCTGCCCAATCCTGAAACTGAGTATCTTACATGTTTACTACCTACTTAAGGCTTCACCTTATACAAACTGTTCATTTAGTTTACCCATTTATCCATGAGGTTATTGATTTGTAGAAATTCTTTATAATTATGAAAGCAATCTTTTATATTTTGTTAAATATCTGCAAATATCTTCTCTGATTCTCTTACTTTAAAATTTTTTTATTATGTTCAATTAGCTAACAGTACATCATTAATTTTTGATGTAGTGTTCAGTGATTCATTAGTTGCGTATAACACCCAGTGCTCATCATAACACGTGCCCTCCTTAATACTCATCACCCAAGTACCCCATCCCCCTATCCCCTCCCTTCTGTAACCCTCAGTTTGTTCCCCCAGAGTCCAGAGTCTCTCACGGTTTGTCTCCCTCTCTGATTTCTTCCCATTCGCTTTTCCCTCTTTTCTCCTATGATCCTCTGCACTATTTTTAAATTCTTATGGTGTCTTTTGACATTTAGAAGGCCCCATTCTCCCTCCTCCCCACCCACACACAATTAGTTGTAATAATATTTGTCAATCTTTTGTTCTCTTTTAGATTTTGGTGTTTTGTTTGTTTGTTTGTTTGTTTTTTGTTTGTTTTTTTTCCTTTGCCTTTCTGGTCTGGATATCACATAGATGTTATTCTACACCTTCTCTTAACAGCTATAAATTTTCTCTTTCCACATACAGGATGTTAATCCAAATGGAGGTTTTTGCATTTGGGATTTTTGTTTGTTTATAAATAATATAGATGGGGACCAATTTTTCCAACTGAATTTATTGACTCATGCATTCTTTCCCACTGATTTGTAATACCTCTTTTACCTTACGCTTAATTTTTCCATGGATTTTCTGTCTTAGTGAACTTTTGTCTTTTGCTCAACAGATACTAAATTGCTTCCATTTCTAAAGCTTTATGACATTTACTATGAGGAATGACACATTTTCCCCTCTCTGTTGTTGTTTCAGAAATGCTTTGCCTATTCTTGGACCTTAATTCTTACACAAAATTTAGTCCATTTCTCAAGTTTGTATGAGTCACAGTAGGATTTCATTGGAATTTCACTGAGTCTGTAGATTTATAAAATAAATTTTTCTGATGTATTACTATGATAATGTATCATACTCAAATCTTCTTATGTGACCTTCAGTAATGTTCTGTAATTTTCTCTAGGGTCTGGAGCATCTTTTGTTAATTTTGTTAATTACTATGCACATATTTGTTTTTGTTTCTGTTGTGAATGATTTTTTTTCTATTGGATTTTACAGAAGATTACTGCTGCTATATAAGTTGTATGTTGTACTGTTGAGAGTAGATGTTGTACCTAGCCACCCTGCTGAATTCTAAGACTTCTAATAATTTAGAGTTTTGGATTTTGTATGTAGAAAATCCCATCTGCAAAAACTAACAATTTTTGAGTCTTCTTTTTAGTTCTTAAACTTTCCCCTTATCTTACTGTTTTATCCAAAATATCCAGCACTGACACCAGCAATAATCACAGGCATTCTTCTTGGTATCTGATTTTAGCAAGAATGCCTCTGTTTTCACCACTAAACATGATGCTTGCTTCCATTTGTCAGTTCCATTTTATTGGGTTAAGAAAACTCTTATTTCTAGTTTGCTAACAAAAATCTTATTAAGAATAAGTACTGAATACATTTTAATTATTTTTTTTTAAAGATTTTATTTATTTATTTGACAGACAGAGATCACAAGTAGGCAGAGAGGCAGGCAGAGAGAGAGAGGAGGAAGCAGGCTCCCCGCTGAGCAGAGAGCCCGAAGTGGGGCTCGATTCCAGGACCCTGGGATCATGACCTGAGCCGAAGGCAGAGGCTTTAACCCACTGAGCCACCCAGGCGCCCCTTATTTTTTTAAATTTAATGACATAAAAGTTTTTTTATGATTCTAAAAATTGTGCACTCTATCTATGGATATGACCTATTTAAAAAAAAAAGATTTTATTATTTATTTATTTATTTATTTACTTGAGAGAGAGAGAGATTGTGAGAGAGAGAGAACAAGAGGAGGGAGAAGCAGACTCTCTGCTGAGTGGGAAGCCCAATGGGGCTCCATCCCAGGACTCCGGTATCATGACCTGAGCTGAAGGCAGACCTTAGCTGACTGAGCACCTCCTACATATGTGCTATTTTTTATTCCTAGTATCATTGGGTTTGTGCTTTCTTTTTTTGGTCATTCTTCCATGTCAAAGATTGTTGTCTTTATTACTCTATTTGAAAATCAAATTTGAATATCTACTAATTATTTTTTCCTATTTTATTACTTTCTCTTTTAAACTTTAGTATTTCCTTCTATTTTATTTTTTTTTTAAGATTTTATTTATTTATTTGACAGACAGAGATCACAAGTAGGCAGAGAGAGAGGAGGAAGCAGGCTCCTCGCTAAGCAGAAAGCCCGATGTGGGGCTTGATCCCAGGACCTGGGATCATGACCTGAGCCAAAGGCAGAGGCTTTAATCCACTGAACCACCCAGGCACCCCATTTCCTTCTATTTTAGTTCCTTTTTCTAGTTTACTATGTGAAACCCTTCATTAATTTTCAGAATTTCTTATTTTTTAATGTAAATATTTAAGTTCACTCTAAGTTCATTTGCTGTTTTTATTGTTGATTATTAATTGTATTATGATTTACAAATCAGATGCGTGTGATTTATATTCTCTGAAATGTGTTGCACCATAGCCTGGTGCAAACAGATCACTTCCTGGAAAACCCTGACAAACCGATATGAATTAATAGTGACCTTCTCACAGATAGTGTTTTTGTGAGCCTTAGATATATAGAATGTCTAGTCCCATGTTCTTCCACAGCATGAGGTATGTGTCCTTAATTTTTGCTCCTGATCATGTATTGAAAAGTCAACCTCACATTAAGATATATGGGTGATGAACCTTCTCACTTGCTATCAAAATTATGGGCTCCTTCTTGATATATGGCCCTTGGAGACTTTTCTTTCTAGTTTTCAAGTTCAGCTTTATTTTTTAAAACTTTAAAAATTATCATGCTCAACTTTTCCAAGTGGTTAGAGGAGAGGGTGAAATATCCATCTTGACAAGTCCCGTTTCCCTGCCTTGACTCTTTCTCTTTTAATATCTAGAGACATCCTTATTTTGTTTTATTGTTATTGAGCATCCCCACAGGACACAAATGATTTCTGAGAAGTATAAATTCCCTGTTGAAGCTGTTATGTAGTATTAGTTTGGTGCAAAGATCTTTCAAAGGGGGAAAAAGAGAAAGAAAATTGAGAGAGAAGAGGAGGAGGAGAAATATAGGTAGAGAAGGAAACAGAACAAAAGCAGCAGGATCACAAAGAAAAAAGTCAAAGAGGAAGAAAAGTTTCTGGGGACCAGAAAGCTAGCAATCCTCACAAACATTGTTATTCCCTTACTAAGAGAAATTAAAAGATAGGCTGCATAGATGTTGTAATCTTACCCTGCCATAAGAGTATTACTAAGTAAATAAGCAAAAGCCCAAAAAATAATCCGTAGATGGACGTCCATCTGCACACCACACTGCATTGTACCTGGTAATAGAAAATGAGATGTGACACATTGCTGCTCTCTTTCCCACAACCTTTTCCTCATATGTAATCTAGGTAATCTTAGATTCT